ATAAAATGTGCAGCTAATATATATTTTGAAATTAAATACATTGGATACATATTGAAGTACATTTTTCATTGTACTACGTAAATGTTTCATAGTGATAGCGTACGTTAAATATTGTAAACTCGTCTGTATAAGACAAACAGTAATCAAAGTACTGAAAGTACTGAAAAGCGGTTAGCATGCTTTCATCTAATATGTACCGAAAAAAGTGCATGAAATGATGATATTTAAGTATGCATATCTTTGTCCAATGTTATCAGAGAAAAAATAACAGGCATTCTGTTTTTGTAATACTTTACTTAATAGTAAAACCAATAACATTCCAAACTGATGTCACAGATGGATGCAATCTAATTAAAATTAGATGTTCCGAATCCGCTACTGCTTCTCAGACATCATCTAACAACATCATATTTGGGGTCATGTAAGTGTGAATCTTCGATTAGCCAAAGAAAACGGTTCCTCCGAAATCTTGGCTTACAGTTCACATGGGTTTCTTGTTTTCAACACCGAACCAAAACACCCGAGGAGTTTTGTAGTAAACAAAATATGCATTGCATAAGCTGTGTTATGTATGACGTGTGGGTGTCTTGTATAGTTTGTGCTCTTTCGTTTGCATTATTCACGTGCAGATGCCAGACTGCAGACTATACATGAAATTGATTCCAAAATTACTTTAATTCAACGTAAGACAGTATCAATAATGATGATATGTAGCCGTGGAATTAATTTGAGAATTGTTTACCGAGGTTTGAATCTACATGGCCAAAGTTTTTGTGTTTACTAGTACATGTATTCATAATCGAAAGGTCGCTCTGATGTGACCCCGAATGGGATGTTAGATGTTTGAGAAGCAGTAGCGGATTTGGAACATTTAAATAAATTTTAATTAGATTGAAATGCATGTTTCAAAATTTAAACATGAGATTTCTTCAGTTTGAAAGACAGGAAATGCATTTTTAAAAGTTCTCTCTTGGTGGCATCCTATCGTTCTCTGGATGAAAACAATTATGTTGATGTTGAGAATTTAATTGTCTTTCATGCTCTATTGAATCTGAAGTTAGGTAATTGTAAAGCCTAATATAGCAAACAACTAAAAAAATGACAAATTAAATTCTTTAGAATAATGGATTTGGAGTAGTGTAGATCTACAGCTGGCTAGTCAGAGAAAAAAAGGATGACTGAGCAGAGACTTTGTAAATGAATTGATATCAAAGAGCTCCAGTTGTGTAGGCTCATCGCGGGTATAACCTTTCAACGTGGGATGCTTACTTCTTCTAGGCAACGGATCCCACCTCTTGAACTTTCAGGAGTCAGCTTTTCTTCTTAAATCGATCATTGATCATTCTGTATTTTTATACAGATACTGAATACTTCCGTTTAGTAATATTATGAACTACTACTTGTACGGGAAGACTGGCGAGTAAACAAGATTATCAAGCTTTATGAAATGTACTTTATTGACTTTTCAAACAAGTAAATGTTCGAATAAAGTAAATGGTATATGAGAATCATTTAAAAGAAGTCTTGCACAATATGTCTAGATAAGGACATAATGTGTATTTGCCATATACTCTTCATGCAATATTGCTCTCAAATAAAACATGTGAAAAGGAAAGTTGTCTAATCAAAAAATACTAGTATTTAAAAATTCAAATGTACACTTAAAGTCAGTGTAACTTAAGAAGTTATCAGTGTCACTTTCTTCAATATGTCGGTTAAACAATATACACTGATTTCTTTTCTATCAATGTGTCTCTAAACACCTGTATCTTAATTTAATTCTTCTCAAACGCTCAAAATAATGATCGACAAACTGGACAAATTCAAATTTAAGAAGGATTTTCACAGCTAATAATACGTTCCCTAGGAATTAATCAAATTTTCAAAATTTATAAATAAACATTTTTAATCAACCATACAGAATTACCGAAAAATAAGACAAAAGAGAAAGACTGTATTATTTGTCCGGAATTACCCCGTGTCCAGAATTGGACGGATCTCCCCTAAGTATAAATTTTAAATTTTTGCTAATTGCCAAGACTTTTCATACCTCATTCTTCTGTGAATAATAATATCGGTTGATTTTTAGAAGAGGGTCACAATGCCGATTAAAATTAATATATATTTATCCTTTTTTTTTCAAAATTAATTTTACTACTTTAAGTGCCCCATTATTTTTTTCAAAACTAAAAGTAAGTGATCCCTTATGATCGTTTGTACATGTAATAAATTATCAAAGACGGAGCAGAGAATTTACCCCTGGGAGCTGAGCTTTTAAAACTGTTTATTAGACAGAGAAGAAAACAAACGTTTCATTGTGGAGGCAATCCTATTGTTTCCATAAAAACGTTACAAAAAGTGTAAAACTTGCAGATGTATTCGGTGTTTTTATAAAAACGTTTTTCAGGTATGACTTGACTTAATAAATGGTGTTTCTTAATACTTTGGCAAGGAAAATCAAACTCGATCGAGAGATTTGCTGATGTTTTTGCAGTCTGTAATAACCTTCAACCTGCTGTATAATTAACCGTATCGTTCAACTTTCAAAAATAAACTAACAGTTGCTATAAATCGCGATCGCACGATGTACATGTAATAAGGACGAAATTCTCAGTTCTTTGAAGTTAGTGTTCTAAGTATTGTCAATGCTTTGGTAAATACTAATAAGAATTCGATATAATCGTTATAATAGCCACTCTTCGTACACAGCATATTGTCAATCTTTCACCAGGGGGCGTATTACGCCAACAGTATACAAATCATAGGAAGCGCTTTGCTGAAGTTACCGTTGTCGATAGGTAGCGCCTTGTGGAAGTTTCCGGTTTTGGTTGCAGAAGGATAAGGTTACGTGCGATAAAGCGATGTCGATAGGTAGCGCCTTATGGAAGTTTCCGGTTTTTTGGAGCCCATGCCATAAAGCGGTTAGCTAGCTAACCGCTTAAAAAATGACATGAAAAATTAATTTAGATTAAACGAATATTCGATTATAGTTCGCTTAAAGCATCCGACTATTCGACTAAGCTGTCCGAATAAAATTGACATCCCTAGTTATTACCGAATAATGCACATCCTCTGGTCAAATGTATGATTTCACGAATTTCATATAGAGGTCTTGAAGGCCATATTTCAAACTTCTTGGGCTAAAGATGTGTTGTTTTTTTCATACAAAGAAAATTTCTCCTGGATACAAAATTCAACAAAGAGCAAGAGCCACATTTTTTGCCTTATTTGGCTCTGACAATTTCTGTAAAATCAAAACCGCTCTGTTTAGGTTGCAAATGCAGTATTTATCACTTGGAGTGCTGATGACCATGTATCTTTAATCATGACGTAAGTTTCCCTCTAGTCAATGCATTATGACGTCATAAAATGAGCCATTCTCCTCATTTCCTGTATACACTGAACCAAACTTCTAAGTGTTCACCTCACATTTTTGAAGTTTTAAAGAACAAAATCAAACAATAAATAATTTCTTTAATTCTTGGTTAATGATGCATATTTAAGTGCAATGTAGCGTAAATTTCATGTTAGTATCTCGTCAGAATTTTAAGCAAATTGTCAAGGAAATGATGTACCCTCAAAATGAAAATTCGCACAAAAAAATCTCGATGGAGTAGGACCCACTACTCGCTCTATTACTTCAAGACAATCTTTATTGTTGGATACCATGTACCCCTGAATAGGAGATTGACCCATCTGCTGCCACACCTACATGTACTGCATACTAAATCTTTTCAAACCATTGAAATTGTGAGGAAAGGGGGGGGGGCTTTGACATTTCTTTTAAAATCCCAAATGTGTTCAGTGGGATTCAGATCCGGGAATTTGACAGTGTATCGTCACACAAGTACCTTTTGGTCAATATCCTTGGGTGTTTAGCACGTAAGTGCGCCACTTTAAGGATAATTCAGACTGCTTGAGCTGATATAAGACTGCCACGAGCAGCGATTTTTTTTTTATCATTTTCGTACTATTGAAATGGTTTGTTTCTATGTTTCTAAGATTTTTTCAGGACACTTGAACACTCTCTTTACCTGGTATAACGAGAAATTTTATCTAAAGATGAATATTAAGGTCACTTCCGGTGTGATTAAATTTTGTCAAAAACTTTCAATTGTGATAAATTGGTGATGAAAAATGAGCACAGCCTATATAAAAATGTGTTTAAATGGGTTTTTGATATTGTTTGATAACTTTTAAAAGTAATATCAAGTACAATTAAGCACTAAAATATAAATAAGTAAAACGTGGTGCGAAGATTGTCCAGATATCAATATTCCAACGGCTCTCCCCTCTACATCAATGGTTATTTTGCCAATGTTTTGTGTTTTTTAGTGAAACCAGTATTTAAATTTTGATAATGATCACAAAAAGATGCTTATTACACAAAACACATGCTGCAAAGTACAGATTTATTGTTTTAAAGCTTCGTCACGGAACATTGGTTTTCATCGGTGATATTGAATTTTCTTTCTACAGTTGTTGAGAAGACCCATTTGTTGTAATAGTGTGAAAATATCATACCATTCTATAAAGTAGTTTTTAAATAAATGCATTTATTAAAGTGAACACTTAGAAGTTTTGTTAAGTGTATTCCTTTGAAAATGGCCTAAAGTTGAAGTATTTTTCAATATTTCATATAGAGCACAACCTCTGATCCAAAATATGCAAATACATTCGGAAAGATCTTTTTCTGAAGATCAAAAAAATGTTTTATTTTTTGGATTGCAATTTCTCAGAGCCTGTTTTCCAATATCTGGATTCTCCAAAAAAAAATTATTATAGGAAATGAAAGCACCAAGTGTCTACTTTATTTTGATATATTAAATGGGAAAGAGGGTGATATTTATTTCTTGTAATTGATGCAAGTACAGGGCCATTTTATGCATAAAGTTAACCCAGCTCTTTGTTTATAAAGCTTAAAAAAAGGTCTACGTATTTTAATTACCTAATTCTTAACCATGTAACGTTAACTCACATATTTAAATTATAACTTTTAGGGTTTCCTTGGTGACGTCATATTTTGAAGAGGCATTAAAAGATAAGCCACACTTGTTTAAAGAAGACTCGGTCAAAAGCGGCATGGATAAAACTTATCCCAGAAACTGTACATCAAAAGAACACTTGAACAGTTCAATGCATGTCAAACACAATAATATTGAAGCGACTTACACAGGACTGGCCATTGGTATTCTAGATTTGCTAGTAAACGGAGCAGTGTTTGTTATTTTAATGAAAGACAAGAATGTACGAAAAAATCCGTATCTCTTTTTAGTTCTCATGTTGTGTGTGAGCGATTTTACGGTCGGGCTCGGAATCATATGTGCCCTTCCAAGTTTTATCCAACCTCCCTTAATCAGGAGCACGCTATTTACTGTCCTACAAATTGTTATGATGCTTAATGGCCTGTGTTTATCACTCTTGCAGACATTTTTAATAAGTTTACAGAGATACCTGGTTCTGTGTAAAGAAAGATGGAACTTGTTTATTTTTCAACACAACCGGAAGTATTACGTATGTATCGGCAGTTCATTTGCCGTGACGTTGATGAACTTTGTTCTCATTTCGCCTCCTCAAAGGGAACTGGATGTATTGAATGACAGTGCTTTGTCATTTGTCTATCACGGGCATTACTTAGCACACTCGATTTACATAAAATTTCTTTCTTTGTCTCTGTTATCACTGACACTAATCTTGTACTCAGTAACAGTTCGCCATGTTCTAAAAACTTACAACAAAGTTAACCCTATTGGAAATAACATGTCCATAAATGTTAGGACAATCCAAGTGCAAATGAAACCTTTGCACACTATTCCCCGTACTACAAGCGATAGAAATACAAACTGTCACAAAAACGTGCAGTCTAGGAGTCGGCGCCATTTGCTCTCACTGAGACAAAGAAAAGTTGTCAGTTCTTTGAAATTAGTTGGAGTATTGATAATACTTCTGCTTATTTGTACAGGGCCTTTTATTTTTGTAGTATGGAATGACAGCGCGTCCTCAAATGTCAATCGTGTGTTAATTTCATTATGTATTCTGAATTCTCTTATAAATCCATTTATATACTTATGGAAACTGTATGATATCAAAGGAATTATTAAATCAAGAATATGTTTTGTTAGACGATAACAAATAAAATGTTTCACAAAGATATGTCATACACATGTACATGTACAGACAGTCCCACCCCCCTTAAGGAAGATAGCAATGAATGATACGTGACTTTCTATTACCCTTTCATTGACGATTCGTGTTTAAATCATTTGCTTTGTCCGTCTGTCTGTACGCACCAGCCTGAACATTACCCATAACTTTTGATTGGATGAAGCTTTGATATCTTTACACACAGTGAAAGAATATCACTTTAAATGAATATGTTACCTCGAAAAAAGGGTCCAGATGCGGCAAACGTAACAGTGAGAAACAAGCGATCAAACTATACATGTATATTACCATTGTTACTCGTATTTACTTTTTAATCCGACACATATTTTGGGTCTTCCTTAGGAAACATGGTCACTGTCACTATACTAGTATTCAAAAGGGGGTGGGGTGTCATTTTGTGAGCTCATTGCTAACAGTACCTCAAGTTTTAAATTTAATTTAATTTTTAATTGTGTCGTCTGACCTAAAAGCTGCTATTATTTTTTCTTTACTTAGTTTTAACTTGAGCTCAAAAATATTAAAACGGAAGTTTTTGCATTAATACACTCCATTATGTTTTCACTGGTGGCGGTGAATCTAAAGCGAAAAGATGAGGCATCATGAGTCAGGAGACAGAAAACATGTGTTTTATACCTCAATAAGATAAGCAAATTCATAATTTCATAGAAGATTAAACATTGTAGATTAATTGCTTTTTAATGAAAGTAATTACGTGATTGAAAATAAAAACGACAATAGTTCTGAGGTTAAATTATCTATGTAGAACTGAATGCGATCCCGACAATTATGAATACGCTGACCCTGTAAATACTGAACCAAAGGATGAGGATCGATACAAGGAAGTATGTGCACAGGCCCGCTTTAGGAGTGAAATATTGGGATGTGAAGAGTTCGACGCGTACGGTGAACCATTATCAAAGTCCGACAGCGCTGTAAAGAAGTCAGAAACGATGAGCTTGATTTGATTTTCAACTAGAAATGATTTTCCATCATCCTTCATACACAAGCATAGAAAGAAAACAAGCAGATCAAGAAATCTACTATTCTACTACTATTTCTTCTAAAGTAAATAAAGTAATGAAATACAGAACCACAAGTCTACGAACATTTCAAAGGCAATGACAGGGACTGTTCCAAAATATAGTTATTACAAACCTTGTACTGATTTGTGTCAAAACTGTCAGGAATTGGAATTTGTAAATATAATCTCGAACAGTGGTCATCTTGCTGAGGAGGAGAAGTAGCAATTACCTGAAAAGTACAAAAGTCATGTTCAGATTGCAAAGAACAAAAGAACTATTATCTTGAGCAGGTCAAACTAGCTATACAAAATTTTCCCAAAAAGTTTTTCCACATGTTTAACCTAATAAAGATTATATATAAGACATACCATGTCATATATATATATCTACATTTATGGGACAGAAACATGTTATATATATGTCATAATCAGATTTTCTCTGAAATTCTGATAAACTTCAAATGTTATGAAATGCTTAACCATATCATTTGTTGGTAATATTAATTTTAATAAAATGTTAAATCTTGGAAGTCTTGAAGCTGATTATTCTTTTAAGTATATAAGCAAATTTTTCTTTTAAAAAAGATAGGTGAGCTAGAGCCGTAGTATTTTTCCTTTTAATACAGAAAGGAGGGTTCGTGATAAACTGTTTTATTTTGCTGAATTCTTTAATGTTTAACAAGACTGGAGTCTTATAGTTAGAGTTATGATTTTTGTGAATTTTTTTCATTGAATTTAAATCATATTAGTGTGGAACTGCATTATATCAATCGCTTATCGTTCATGCCAACAGACTTTGAAAAGGAAAAAAAAGAGATTTGTTTTATGAGGTTGACGATATTATCCAGGAAGGTGGTATAACTCGCAAGGTAGATATGTCTAGAATCTTGGCGTCATCTGACCTAAGTTTTTGTTGTGTAGTTAACTTTAAAGCGTAAGCTACACAAAAAATAAACAAACTTCAGAATCAATCAGAAAAGGCAAGTGTTATTTAATGACACAATGAAATTGTTATCATACAGTCTGTCTATAGTAGTTTTCACAGAATGCCCGACCGTGAAGCCGAGCATGTGTATTCCATAAATATGCAGTAACGTCTAGAGCGCTAGGAAAAAAATAAGATTTTTTATAGGTAACCCTACCACAGTCAATTCAAACCATATAGCATTAATTACTTCTGTGATTTTGCTCAACAGGTTCCTATTTCACGCAATGTGTTTGTGAAACACTGATGCCCCCGTATGACAACATAGCGAAGATTAAGCTTTCTGAATGCAGATCAAATATGTTTGTACCTAAAGTAAGGCCTTTTCACAAAAAATGCAAATGTGAAATATAAGTACATCCCTCATTATATGAGGTGTTTTTATCATTGAATGAAGTACGTTTAACATTACATGCGGTAGTTCTATCATATAATCAGTGAACACACCAATTTAATATGTACTTCTCACATTATACTCAGTCAGTTTCTTCATCATTCAGTGTAATATTTCTGTTATTATAATGCTGATGCTCGTTTAGTATTATATCAAGTCAATTTAATTAGCATACTGTACGGTACATTTTGCATTTTGTAATGATGTAGACACAGTATTACTGTAATTTGCAGTGCTTTCTTCTTTATGTGATCATCTTTCTCTCTTTGGTTCGCTTTTATCCTTTCTCTCAATCGACCGAAATGTCAAAAGATGCAATGATTTCTGTCTGATGAAATTCTCGTATGTAAGTAAATATGTGCAGGTATTCGTTGCTTATGACCTTATAATAAAGATGAATTAAATATGACAATGCGCATTACTGTTAAAGTGCGCATTTAAAGTATCGGTACTTATTATTTTTTTCTTAAAG